ATTTAAGCTATTGTGATAGAGTCATCGTCGTATATAACATTACAATGAAGACGAGTTTTGATTAAGATTTCTACTAAGCTTTAAACAGCATGGAGTAAAGGAACAAGGAAACAAAAAGAAGCTGTCAATTTTACCCCCCCTGAGTGTTTGCTTGTAAACCTTGTTAGACACAAAACTTTGATTAAAAAGTTGTCTTCATTGTATTGATATAAAAACCGACCATTGTTACTAAGTTTTGAAGTGCAAAAAATAAAACTCTTGATCAAAAACTGCCTGACTACCAAGGAATCGCCTCAAACATTTCATTTTCATTCACATAAAGGAATTGAGTTTTTGTTACAAACTCTGATATTTTTATCCCTATATCTTTGTATTTGAATGTCAGAGACCTTAGATATTCCAAACTATTAATCATTTTAGATCAAATAATGATAGTTAGAAATATCAAAGGTTTACACCATCAGGTTGAAAAGATATAGTGATTGTAAAATCATAATTTGTGGCAAAAACTCAGTTCGTTTTTGGCAAACTACGCTTTAAAATATATCTTGAGATTACAATAATCAACGTAAAACTAATTGCAACAAAGTCCATCCTGTCTGTATCTTAATATTGTCATGTTTTGATCTCACATTCAAAATCCGTCTACCGACAGTTTCCCCTTGTGTCCTTGATAAAAGCTTCAAAGGTCATAAATCGCGGAAGACATCAGCCTCGAATTGAATATTTACTAAAATAAATTGTTTTCATAAACATTTTTATATATAAACTGTTTACTTGTAGGTAACAGCCCCAGTAGCCCTGTACTGGGCCCAGAATGATTGGCTTGTAATGCCTGAGGATGCTAAATATCTCAATGATCGTCTGCCTAATGTTGTCAAGTTTGAAAGGTTATAATTCTTTTATTTAAATATGTACTTAGGATACATTAATTTTGTTCAAATTTTTTAAATATATATACCAGAGCAAAGATTAAAATGGTCGTCTGCGTGTTGTTAAGTTTGAAAGTTATAAATATTTAATACAGTAAATTCATTAATTACATTTAATAATAATTTCACATGGTCGTCTGCGTGTTGTTAAGTTTGAAAGTTATAAATATTTAATACAGTAAATTCATTAATTACATTTAATAATAATTTCACAGCGACGTCTATGAATGTTTTCTCATGATTTTCTTTCAATTATTATGATTCTGAAGAAAATGTTTCGGCATCCAATAATATTACGGCGTTTGCATAGTAAGAACAAAATTCTCAAAAGTTAAAAAGTTTTTTTTCTCAAAAAAGTGTAAAAATGTAAAAATGTAATATTTCAGGGTGAATGAAAGTATGTACACACATCTAGATTTCCTATGGGGAATACATAACATGGATCTAGTTTACGGACCAACTATAAACCTTATGAAAGAATATTAACTATACATTGATAGTCTAATATCTTTATTCCTTTATCTTTGCAAATCTTTTTGATATTTGAAACTATAAGTTCTGTTTAATCAGCTGGTATAAGTTCGAAATATCAAAGGTTTACATCCTCAGGTTGGTTGCAACAATATTGAGATAAATTTGATTTTGGCAAAAAATCAATTCCTTTATTAAAAAACTATAAAATTAATATGATAAATTAGAAACATGTATCAATTTTTATTTTTTTTATTCTAAACGCTTTACGAATATTGTATAATGATATGATTGTTTAATCAAATGTTTTTCGCTAAATATATTTTAATTTTATATATTTTAATTTTATTTTTATTTTGAATTGGATTGTTTTCTGTAAATTTATAAATTTTTGAGAATTTTAAAAATGTTTTGTAAATAAACTTAGGAATATCGATTGACGATTAAAAGATTAAGATATTCTGTCTTTTCTCATTGAAAAGAAATGAATTCGGTCAATATCCTTTCTTGTCTCCTCTGCATAAATGCAAAAGCCACTCTTACAGATAAACAAATATTGAAAATTTTTTTTCCTTCATTGGAATGGATATCTTTACAAGAAGGCTCACTTGAAATAACGTCAACAGTCCCTTTAATTGGATTGTATTACATCAGCCCAACGTTACATCCGTCCTACGATACTTAGGACCTTCCTGCACGTGGTTTTTCAGCAGCTTCAAGCTGCTGTTGGTCCAATGTACTGTAGGTCGGTTACACACTTCATTAAAAAAAAATAATGTATCCGGTCGGTTGCACAGCTTTCTTATGTTGGTTGCCCTCTTCTGTAGGTCAGATGCACAATATTTGTGGGTCGGATGTATTTCATTAGAAGGATGGATGCACAACCTTTTTAGGTCGGATGCACAACTTTCTTAGGTTGGTGGCACTCAATTCTGTAGGTCGAACCCACAATAAACCTAACATAACCCCACATATCGGCTATAGACTTATCATTTTGATAAATGTGGCCGCAGTGCTTGGCCCAGAAATTGTCTTAACCTAACCCCTTATCGATTTTGATGGTTATTATCGTTAGAACTGACCGAAATATTTTTTCACTAAATGTGGAACTAACATCCATCACCGAATTTTAAACCTACATATATTGTCTATCACTTTGTCATTTTGATAAATGTGGCCGTAATGCTCGGCCACCTAGCCTGTCCTAGCCGCAGCGCTTGGCCCAGTAAATTGTCTTAACCTAACCTAACCCCACATATTGTCTATCACTTGGTCATTTTGATGAAAGTGGCCGCAGCGCTCGGCTCCCTAGCCTGTCCTAGCCGCAGCACTCGGCCCAGAAGTTGTCTTAACCTAACCTTGTGCATCCGACCTACAAAATCTGTGTATCCGTCCTACAAAAGTTGTGCATCTGACTTAAAAAAATTGTGCATCCGACCTACAAAAGTTGTGCATCTGACCTACAAAAGTTATGCATCTTACATGCAAAATCTGTGCAACCGACCCACGAAAGTTGTGCATCCGACCTACAAAATCTGTGCATCTGACCTACGAAAGTTGTGTATCCGACCTACGTGGGCAACCGGAACATCGATGCTAATGGTAGCACTGTCAACTACATACTGACTAAATCTGCAGTTCCTGCGTAGGTCGGATTAACAAAATATAATGTACATCCGACATACAGCTGTCGTAGGTCCGATGATGTGTAGGTCTGAAGTATAGTAGGACGTAATTGCCGTAGAACAAGTAACACAATCCTTTAATTGTGTTTAATCCTTTTATAAATCCTATACAGCTAAATTTCCTTTGATTTAAAGCCTTAACTTTGCCAAGATAAATCTTCTGTTTTCGATGCATAATGCACAATATTCCGCTCTGGTGAAAGCAGTTGCCAAAAAACATGTTTATTAAATTTAATTCTTCGGTTCGAAGATTAATAAATTAATTTAAACTCTCGGGGAAACAATTAATTTTAGATTTAGAATATTTTCTCTCTTCTTTTTACTTAAATCAAGCATTATTGTTCAACTGTGAGGCTCATCCTACCATACAGCCGTCCACACTTTTTATCAAGCTAAAGCAAACAAAACAATTAAATCAAAGATAATACCCAAATATGTAAGTTTTATAAACAGTAGAGTGGAAATATTTGTAATCTTAAAAATAACTTTTATTTTTTTAACTTTCTTCAAATCTTTAAATCCTTTAAATCTCAAGTAAAACAAGTTGGTTTCAAACCACTTTCAGTAATAGCTTCACTAGCTTCACAAAACACTAAATACATATCGTCGTCACTTGAAAGGGGTTGTAAAGCACAATTTAAAAGATGTCCATAACCGACTTACAAAGATAATCTTTGACTAATAATTGAGTCCAGAGGACAATAGTTTTGTGTGTTTGTTTCCGTTTACTCACGTAAAGTTTTTTTTAGCTGACTTCTAGAATTAGTATTAAAGTAAAGCGAATGTATGCGAAACACTGTTTGATGCTAAATTTTAGCGATAAATGACTAAAAATTCATGTTCTGATATAAATAGTTATACATTTTCTGATTTTCTTATTAAATTTAAAAGTATTTCTTTTCAAACAATGAGCAAGTACTATGTATATTTGTGTATAAACAATAAACTAGAATACATATTGCATATTGCTGTTTAAACATTAAAAAAGTATATGTATATTTTTGTATAAAAAATGAAAAAGAATAAATATGATTCTGTGTGAACAATAAACAAGTATATGTATATGTTTCTGTATAAACAATGAAAAAGTATATTTATAATTTTGTATAAACAATGAAAAAGAATAATTATAATTCTGTATGAAAAAAAACCATGTATATATTTCTGTTTAAACAATGTAAAAGTATATTTATATTTTAGTGTAAACAATGAAAAAGTTTATTTATATTTCTGAATAAACAATGAAAAAGTATGATACTTTTGTATAAACAATGAAAAAGTATGATACTTCTGTATAAACAATGAAAAAGTATGATACTTCTGTATAAACAATGAAAAAGTATGATACTTCTGTATAAACAATGAAAAAGTATGATATTTCTGTATAAACAATGAAAAAGTATGATATTTCTGTATAAACAATGAAAAAGTATGATACTTCTGTATAAACAATGAAAAAGTATGATACTTCTGTATAAACAATGAAAAAGTATGAACTGTTTTGTATAAACACTGAACAAGTTTTTATATTTCTGTATGAACTTAATGAAAAATTTTAAGAGTTGAAAATATTTTGGATTCCGCGGAGGTTCAGGTTCGGAGTTCCGTAGATTCCAGTTTCTTGTTCAACTAACTTTAGGAATCTAAATCCTTCCAGTATAGGAAATTTTCTACCCCTAATAGTTTGGATAATTTTTCCACTGGAATACAATATTTTAATTAAAAATGAAAATTTTTAAAGTTTTTCTGTAAAGTCTCATTTTTAAACATAAAATATCTTTAATTTAATGTGAATGTACAAGTATATCTGATTTTTGATGATCAGTTTTTGTTCCATGACTTGGTCTCCGATGAAACTCTGCACTTGGAAAACTTCTTTGACCACTTTGTTTTGTTGTCCCCGGTTGTCGTTATGGTTTAAGTTTCATCCGTTCTAGCTTTAGTCCTCAGGTTATATCTATCTATCTAGGGCTCAGCTCGTTATTTTTTATGTATTTTTAACGATTTTAGTAAATTTTATTTTACGAACACATGAGTATCAAGTTACCGTTCGTTTTTGATAAATACATAATAAACTCCTTCACATAATTTTTTAAATCAAATTTCAAAACTTTCCGTTTGTTAACGAAACTTTGACCAGGTCTATCTGCACCGAAAAAATATCTTTTATTTTAAATTCCACAAAATATGTATTTTTTTTGTTTAAACTGTGTTTAAAGGTAACGAAATCATCCAATTATTAATATGTTTAAATTTTTCCTTTCACGTTTACTTAAATATAATTTTGCCCAGCCCTATATATGTACGTACTAAATATTAGAATATATATTAGGGTTGGTTGATTTGGGAACCAAACTTGAGGGCCTATTGCTAAACCTGCGACTAAATATTCTATGAACTTTGCAAGGAAAAATGAATTAAAAAATGTTCGCGTGCGAAATAAAAACCTCAAACTTCCCGAGGGTTTAAAATAGTTCTGACCAACTTTGCCAACTGCACCTGTAAGTCGGAAATGAAAAAGTATGTAAATCGACCAACCCTAATATATATGGATGTAAAGTTGGTCTTGTATACTGAATGCAGCAGGTACAAGAATATATTTATGATGAAAATTAACCCAGACAAAGTCAGGAAACTTTGCCTTGTAGCTCATAGCTTATACATAGACAATCCTCTTGGAAATTGTGATTTAAACATGTTTCCGATAAAAATTTGTTTTTGGAAATTACGTCGTTTTCTTTGTATAATGGTTTTCTACGCTAGGTGATATTTTCTCAATAAAAATTTTCTTGTGGGAAATTATGAAGGAATTAGGTCTTTGCCACAAACTAACATTTTCTAATCTCTATATCTTCTCAACCTGACGAAATTAAATTATTTGATCTAACAATATAGATAGTTTGAAAATTCTGCAACTTTGTGTTGCAAAGATATACGGATAAGAAAATCTGAGTTTGTGGCAAGGACTCAATTCCTTTAAAATTTCCCTTAAACGGAATTGTACAGAGAGACTCATGTGAACCGTAATTTCCCCTGAGCAGCATGTCCCATTGACAACTGGTACGTACTCTTAAAATCTGATTAACAATGAGGCTGCGGTCAATGTCCTAAATAATTTTAATATGACAAGAAATCAATTACCTGACATTTCTTGCATCGGCATTGTTTTAATTGTTGAGAAAGTAGTTTTTAGCTTGTCTGAAACTTGTTCTTGATAACATTTTCTTTCTTTTTATAAATCCAAACTTTGTCTCATTTTATTCTGATTTCTGTAGAATACAGTCGGTCATTACATACTATGTTATTTCTTTTAATACCAGGAAAATGGAGGGAAGGGGGAATGNGGGTATTCTTTATATTATATATTCTACTTTCATTCAAAACTGTTATTTCATTCTTTATTTTACTTTTAGATGAAATTTACTTTACTTTTATACCTTTGTTATTTCACTTTTAGTATATTTTACATCGTTCAAACACAATTTACGAGTTGTATCATTCTCGAAGGGAGGGTATGCATCACTGTGAGATGATGCTGCATCACGTTTGTAAGTCGTATGCTTGTGACGGTGGAATGTTGCATTACTAAAAGTTGCAACATTTTTGAATTTTATGATGAATATGTTGAGGGATTAAGAATAAGTAGTAAA